TATATATATATATAATAAAGAAAACTAGGAAAGAAGGAGCAATCTGAACCATATAAAGAATAGAAACCAGAAGTTAGTGGCTAGGAAGTAAATGAAAATCCAAGGATGGAATAAGAGGCAGGTTGATTTTGGACAAGGGGAAATCCACAAGTCTCAGATTCTTTAGAAAATCAAACTACTCTTCTACTATAATACCAAACTCAGATTCACAACCAAAGTGCTAACATTTCATCAGTAATTTGAAAAAATTCTGCAGAACATAAAAGAACAGTGACACAGAAAGGAGAATAGAGACACAGAGAGAATATGTAGATTTTCTAGAATGCACAGCCTAGTAAAGAAAAATTTGAGTAAAATGAAAATATGGTAAAATTTGAGCCCTGAGAGATCAATGCATCCTAATGCCCTGTGAAATATTTGTGCCTGGAGGTTTCTTGTAAATAAATATCCTTTAAGCACTAGAACTACTGACTGAAAGAATTTCAGAGAAATCTGCTTATAGCATGTGGATAAAGTCAAATGTGACTTATCACAGGTGGGTAAGGGTACGGTGAGTAGATAGGAGACAACAGGGCCAGGCTAGTCAGGACATAACTTACAGCAAGATTTGGAAAACTTTAGCTATATAACTGTATGACATACCACTATGTTGCTTAAAATGCATTAAAGTGTGATTAAGAATTCACCACAATGTATGACTATGTAATAGTAAATATCAGGCTATGTCATAATTTTTCTTAGAATCATGGCTTGAGTAGTCAATATGACATAATATATTATTTTAATGATTTTTAAAGTTTTAATCTTAATTCCAAGCTTCTGCGTTCCTCTGGTACACATTCTCTATCATTCTTCATTACCTCCTCCTTAGAACCAGTTAAAAGTATACAACTATACTAGTGTCTGAAATTAGATGATTATTAAACAGGAGTCAAGTTTGCCTAAAGATGAAGAATGCAAAATACTAAAATGAATGACCAAGTGATATTTTTCATTAGATTGAAGAGAACATAGAATATACATATGTCTTCTCTGTAATGTAAATATGCATGATTTATAATGGCAGGAAAGTGTGCACAAATTATTTTCAAGTTATTTTACAAAGAAGGTAATGTAGAGATATGGCAGTCCTTTTTTCTTTTCTTTTTTCCCCCTTTCTGTCTTTTTTTCACGTCCGGCAACGGATCGCAACCCTCAGTGTCGCGCCCGTACCGGACTGGGACCGGCAATGGGATCGCAACCCCCAGTGTCACACCCGCACCTTGCTCAGCCAGTGAGCGGGAACCGGTCTGTATGTGGGATCCGAACCCTCGGCAGGAGTGCCACCACGTTCCCAAGTGGCGCACTGTAGCAGTGCGCCACCGGGCTGGCCCAGCAGTCCTTTTTTCTAAGTGTTATTTTTACTCATATACTCTGCAAAACTTTGGCTATATGTTTTGGTGTTTTGCACCTGGAACAATTTGTTGAATAGTATCATCATTACCACAATCATCATTGTGATAATTACAGCTAACATACATTGAACAGTGACTATGTGCCAGGAACTCTTAGTATTTTCATGTTCAGTCCCTCCAACAAACATATGTAGGTTCTATGATTTTCCCTAATTTCCCAAGTACAAAATTTAAAGAGTGATCTACGATAAGAACAAGAAAGTTAAATATATTTTCTAAGATCACACATCATAAAGGTGGCTGAGAGGGAATTCAAGCTCGGAAAAGAGAGAAAGTGAAAAGGGGGAATGGAGTAGAGGAGGATGAGAGAAAAGAAAGAAAAGAAAAGGAGAGAAGAAAGAGGGGTAGGAGAGATGACGGAAAGAGGGACAAGCATGGGAGAAAGATAAATGAAGTGAGATGCAAAGACAGAGAAATAAGAAAGCAAAAGAATAGATGGAAAGATAATATGCATTGAACAGTACTGTAAATAAAAACCTGTGCAATAAATGGGGTAAGTATACACTCTTTGAGAGCAAAGATGGAATACATCTCCACATCTCCTAATATTTAGCAAAGTGATTTTCACTAGCAGGTGCTCAAATATAGCTTACATAATATTTATAATGAAAAGTTCTAATCAGATACAAAATAGGAGGAATAAGTAAAAGAGGAAAGGAGAATGAGAAAGAATGAATGATGGATATCAAAGATTAAAGAAAGCACTTCACTAAATCTTTTAATTTTTTTTCCCTCAAAATACAGCAGGTGAAAATCTTATCCTTGAGTAGAAAGAAACCAACAAGTCATATACTGCCCTTCTTCCTGTCTCTGGAACCATCACAGGTTTTTGAGCAACTGCTTTTGAACCATTCCCCAAACTGGCAATTACTCCAGAAGCTATGATCACTATTTGCAATGACAGCCATGGTGATTTTATTCTTCTGGGCTTCTCTGGCAAGCCATATTTAGAGAAGATACTTTTTGGGGTCATTTTGATATTTTATTTCTCGACTTTTGCAGGAAATATGGTCATAATTCTTGTTTCTTTGAAGGATCCAAAACTTCACATCCCTATGTATTTCTTTCTTTCCAACCTTTCCTTGGTAGATCTCTGTTTCACCAGCAGCTGCATTCCACAGATGTTGGTTAATTTCTGGGGTCCAAAGAAGACCATCAGCTACATTGGATGTGCAGCTCAACTGTATGTCTTCTTGTGGCTTGGTACCACTGAATGTGTCCTTCTTGTCATCATGGCTGTGGATCGCTATGTAGCAGTGTGTCATCCACTGCAATATGCCACTATCATGCACCCAGAACTTTGTCTGCAGTTGGCCATCCTGGCATGGGGGATTGGGCTGGTTCAGTCTCTGATCCAGTCTGCCACCACTCTCCAGTTACCCTTCTGCTCCCACAGGATAGTAGATGACATTGTGTGTGAAGTCCCAGCCCTGATTCAGCTCTCCAGTACAGATACCACCTACATTGAAATCCAGATGTCCATAGCCAGTATCATTCTCCTGGTGGTGCCCTTGATCATTATCCTTTCCTCTTATGGTGCTATAGCTAAGGCTGTCCTAAGGATTAAGTCAACTTCAGGGCAAACAAAAGCATTTGGCACCTGCATTTCTCACCTTCTTGTGGTCTCTCTCTTCTATGGCACTGTCACAGGTGTCTACCTACAACCTAAGAATCGCTATGTTCATGAACGGGGCAAGTTTCTCACCCTTTTCTACACTGTAGTAACCCCAACTCTTAACCCCCTCATTTACACACTAAGGAACGAAGAGGTAAAGGGGGCCCTAATTAGATTAAGGAGGAGCATGTGAGATTCCCAGAATAAATAAAGAGGTTGACATATCTTTACTTGTTTCTTAACCTGAGAATAGAGAACAACCTCATCACAAAAGTTGGAGATACACATCCTAACACCAAAGTAGGAGAGAAAGAGCTGTATTTTGTTCAAGCTGAGATTTCAGTTCCATTCATCAATTATTGATTCATCAGTTATTGATAATTTCTTCATGTTGCTAATTTAGGCACAGTATGGTGGTACAGAAATTAATATATTTATAGTCAATATCTTGAAAAACACACAATACAGTTCAACTGAGGGGAATAAAAGAAACAATACTTTCAAAATAAAATATTAAGTTATCTATTTCATGCCTTTCCATTTATTTCTCTCTCTCTCTCTTTTGGTTCTGATTTCCTCCGAACTCAACCAGTGCTTTCATCCAAAAGTCCCATCTCAATCGTGTTTTTAAAGTTTTAAGAAAGAAAATTCTTAAAAAAATTATATGTGCTTCTATACTGTAATCTGGTGGGTCTTGGTTCTAAGTTGCTTCTGTCTGCCTGCCTCAGTATGACCATTGTTGATGTGTAAGGTGCCTAGCACTACCCACTGCAAAAATGTTTGCCAAGTAGAAGTCCATACTTTCTGCTCCCTGGTGCTTTTACTCTAATAAGATTCCATCCATGTTTCTTAGTTTGAGCCTTAATATGCTGGGCCCCCAATTATAGGACTTCTGGTTTTTTTCTTTATTCTGCTTCCTGTTGCAGTGAGGATCTTGCACAGCCATTCGAGCTCTTTATGAGACATGACTGCAGTAGGAAGAGAGACTTCCTTGGCAGCATCTGTGGGCAGAAAGGAGTAAGCCAACAAATGTATCTCAGTTGTTTTCTGCTTTTGATATTACAAGAAGAGCTACAACGAACACTCTTGTTGAACATTGTTTTGTAGACAAATATTTTTATTCCTCCTGGATAAATACCTAGAAGTGAAATTACTGGGCCATGGGATAGATAGATGCATGTCTAACTGTTTAGAAAACTGCAAAAATGTTTTTCCCACATGATTGTGTAATTTTGTTTTTATACCAGCAATAGAAGCAAAGTCTGATTGTTCTATGTCTTCCCCAACATTTGATGTTGTCAGACTTTTTGGTTCTAGTCATTCTGGTAGATGTGTAATGGCATCTCACTATGGTTTTACTTTGCGTTTTCCTGATGACTAATTGTGCTGAGCACTATTTGATGTCTTCATTGGTCATTTTTATATTTCCTTTTGTGAAGTGTCTGTTCAAGTGATTTACCTATTTTAAAACTTGGATTGTTTGTCCTTTTATTATTGAGTTGAAGGAGTTCTTTTTATACTCTGGATACAAGTCATTTGGCATATGCATGTGCTGCAAACATTTTCTCCCATTCTGTGGCTTGCCTTTTTATTGTCTTGATGATGATTTTTGATGAAAATTTAATTTTATGGAAAAATCCAGTATATGATTGTTGTTGTTGTTGTTGTTGTTGNAGTTCTTTTTATACTCTGGATACAAGTCATTTGGCATATGCATGTGCTGCAAACATTTTCTCCCATTCTGTGGCTTGCCTTTTTATTGTCTTGATGATGATTTTTGATGAAAATTTAATTTTATGGAAAAATCCAGTATATGATTGTTGTTGTTGTTGTTGTTGTTGTTATTGTTGTTATTATTGCATTTACCAGTTTATTACAAAGGATACAGCTCAGAAACAGCCAGAAAGAAGAGATGCAAAGGACAAGTTATGGGGGGGGAGAGCATCACAGAGCTCTATACCCTTTCTTTTTTTTATATATATTTTATTTTTATTTTATTTTGTGGATATACAATGTGTCTGATTTTTGTGGCCAATTACCGAAACCTTCCTCCCTCCTCCCACTCCCCCTCTCTAAGCACACCACCCTCTCACACCTGGATATGTTCACCAACTGGGAAGCTCATCAAATCTCATTGCTCAAGAGTTTTTATAGAGCATAATCTCCAGCCCGCTCCTCTTTCCCAAATGTCAGAAGGTAGGACTAAAACTTCCCTGTTTTATTACTTGTCATTTCTGGTGATCAGCCCCATGCTGAGACTATGTAGGGGCCCCAACTGAAGTCACCTCATTATTATAAACTCAGATGTGATCAAAAGGGGCTCCTTATTGGGGCCGGCCCGGTGGCGCACTGGATAGTGCGCCGCTTGGGAAGCGCGGCAGCGCTCCTGCCCGGGGGGTCGGATCCCACCTCC